AAATGTCTTAATGGTGAATTCCTCAACCTCCATAGCTGGTTGAGGAATTCTGGGAGTTGAAGTCAACAGGTCTTAAAGTTGCCAAGTTTGGAGACTCCTGTACTAGTGTACAGTGAGATTTTGTTTCTCATTTAAGCTGGGAAACCGGAATTGGGCTTTTGAGTGCGATGGTTCTTGGCAAATGACAAATGTTTTAGTTTGTATTTTGACTCTGGTAATCTGTTCAGTATTCAGTGCTTTGCCCCAGCAATTCTGTGTTTTGTATTCATGTTGAGCACCCCAGATCTCAAGTTTCTTTTTTAAAAGATTGAATGGCTGATGAATTGAGTCTGCTTTACTTGCAGTGCTGGTTTGACCCACCTTGAATTTTCTTGTCTTTACCTGATGAGGTGTGTGATTTTCTTCTTGTTACCCTCGGTCAGTAAAAACAATAACCCAAGAATATTTCCAGTAGAGAACCGAATCAGAAAGAGTGGAGCCGAATAAGGATAGTTTCCTCTTTGAGCATGTTTACAATGTGCAGCTGCCAGTCAAAGTGTAGGGTGTTCCTAAAACAGTCTGCTGAAGCTCTCTGGGGTGACTGGGGGTTGCCACTGTGTGGAAGCAAATGGTTCTTGAAACTGAGGGCTCCTGGAAATTGAAAGCTTTTTGTGGTCTGAGAATGGCCTTGTTCTGTTTTCAACTAAGATCTGTCCTTCATAGTTACTGAGTCATTAGGATCTGCTTTAGATTTCCTCTGCTCACAGTGACAGCAGCTTTATCGTAATGGCCCTAGATTATGGATGGGGAATTTGTGGTCCCAGGCTCACTTAAGCTACTTTGGATGACCCTCAGAGACTTCTACAGCCAGGATTGCTGAAAACTGTCAGTGTTTCCTCTCATGCTGATGTGAGTCTGGAGTGTATGTATATCAGTGAGCCCTTAAAGTATGTATATCAGTGTTAATAAATGAAAAGAGAGCTTATCCTTACCTACGTGTGCAATGTGGAGCCACTCATTCCTAGATTTTAAAGGGGCTCTTGACCATCAAAATTTTGCCTGCCTCCAAGAAAAAAAAAATAGAGAACAGGGTGGATAACCTACAACCTATGTCAATGCCCTTCTCCAGTTACACTGCTGAAATTCAGCAGCAAAGTACAGAAATTAGATCATTTGATTGTTTGTATAAAAATACCAAAGCAAAATACTCCAGTAAGAGTGGTACACCTATTTTAGTTTCAACTCCCCCTCAAAAAGGTAGAAAAAAGGAGATATTTGCATCATCTTTCCGAGGTCACCACACTTTGCCTTCAGATATTGCTCAATATTGTGTATTTACTGTCTGTTTCCTACCATTCATGTTGAGCAAGTTCCTTGTGGTTATCACATAGCTGGCTGAATAAAATATCTGATCCAGCAGTTTATAACTCTTTGTTTTCATCATAGTTGGATATTCAAATTCATACTCTGGTTACATAGCTTCTGTTCTTCTTCAAGAAGATAGGCAGGAACCTACTGCAGTCAGGGCACCATGCTTATTATGCGTGCCTGTGAGAATGAACAAAAAGGAAAGACAACTGCAGACATGAAGTACAACTTCATGCTTATTTTGCACTGAACACATTAGCACAGTGTTTCTCAACCTTGACCATTTTAAGGCATGTGGACTTCAACTCCCAGAATTCCACAGCCAGCAATGCTGGCTGTGGAATTCTGGGAGTTGAAGTCCACATGCCTTAAAATGGTCAAGGTTGAGAAACACTGCATTAGCATCAAGTGAGAAGATGGCTTTGTATCAGTGCATGAATAAGAAGGAAGTCAAGCACTAGGCATGTTTTTCGGACTACAATTCCCATCAGGCTCATAATACACAGCTAGAAGCAAAGGATTATGGGAGTGTTAGTTAACGCCCTCTCGAGAACACCAAACTGCCTTCTTCTATAGTAGATAAATCCATGGAGAAGCTAGTCCTTGTTAAGATGAAATTTTCAAGTTTGAGAATAGCATGCCACACATTACGACCGATAGATCAACTGTAAGAAGGGCCATTTTTTTTTACTTAACTGTCAAAAGAACTGTAGGTCTGACCTAAACATTTTCTCTATAGGATCCCCTTTGGCATTAGGTTTGGCTGCAGGAAGGCTGGACTAGGCAGGTGGACAATAAGGCTGCAATCCTAGACACACTTGCCTGGGAAGATCAAATTGAACTCAAGAGAGGCCATGCATGCAGAGGGCGCTTCTGATTGCAAAGTGAGACAGGCAAGGGAATGCTGAACAAAAAGAAGATCTTTCCTCTTCCCCATGAGACAGGTGTGAGCAACATTAAGCGGTTTCAGAGGCCCATTTATTTATTTATTTATTTATTTAGTGTAGGACAAAAATGGTTAAAAACCACATCACAATTCCATTCTGAAGGAGCAAAGACGAGGCTATTTAGTCTACTTACAAATTCAGAGGTAGACTGTATAGTCAGTACATGATGGCGTTGCATGCAGAAAAATCTCTTGTCTCCAAAGTTCGACCTGTTGTGGAACAGTGCCCTCAGAGCACATATCTGGAGGCCCAAACGTCACAGGATAATAATGCAAAGTGGATATGGCCAAGTGACACATTTGGGCAGAGCAAGGATTTTCCTTTCCCCCCCCCCCGAGTGTTTGCAGAGCATGGTAGTGGTAATAGTGGGTACAGCTTTCATGTGTGTTCCGGCCTCAGAATGGCAGGATACAGCACCGTTGGCTTTTGGCAGCTGTACCACTGACATTTGGAGATAGGATTAAATGAGTGTGTGTGTGTGTGTGTATGAGAGAGAGGGAGGGAGGGAGGGAGGGAGGGAGGGAGGGAGGGAGGGAGAGAGAGAGAGAGAGAGAGAGAGAGAGAGAGAGAGAGAGAGAGAGAGACTCTTTAGGTACCACATATGGTCCTGGCACCTCTCTTGCTCTAAATAAGTTCTGCTTATGTTTGAGTCTTGTCCCGTTCATTTTAAAAATAAAGAGGGTGGAGCTCTTTTGGAAGTGCTACTTGGGGTCTCATAAAAGCAACACCCCTCTACCACAGAGCTTCTATCTCTAAGTACGGTTAGGACAAAAGAAGTCTGTTGGACTTAGATAAACTTGCAACAAAGTGAGCTTAAAAACCCAAAATAGATCTTGTGACTCTAGGGTAGGGGGGTTACTGGGAGTGGAAGTGCTACTTCCTTGCTAGCTGGGCTTTCTGCTGTATGTTCTTCTGACCTGATCCGGGGCATCTCCGAGAGAAGACAATCTCCTGATTTGGGGCTGTATTAGAGAGCAGGAGCCAGGGATAGAATAGCAAAGAGATGAGATGGGAAAGTGAATCTTAACTTAAAATTTGGGAGATGGTGCATGATTAAAACTGGCCCAGGGTTTTTCTAGTGTTGACATCCTTGTGATGACTTAAGGAAAATGTGAAAGGGGTGGGGGAACATATATTTGCCATTTCTGTAAAACAGGTGTACATTTTTGTGTGGAACTTAGGAAGAGGAGATGGTGTTTTCTTTTCCTTCTTGCAAAGTATGGATTCAATTATCAAGGTCAAAAAATCAGAAACATTAGCAAAATATCTTAACATTGAAAAATCTTTTCAACAGCTAAAATCAGGTTTGTTCAACCTGGTCTCCTCTCACTTTAGCAGAGCCCTTTATTGGCTAATCTCTCTCTCATAATTAGGCCTACTACTTGCGTGCTCTTTTCCTCTTTCTTCCCCCCCCATTTAATCATACCCACAAATCCACTTGGTCTGGCACATTTCCATTTTTGGGAAAAGCTCCATATCTCCATGGAGGATCCAACCTGCTTGATTTCTCCACCAATCTCCTACAAGCTAGTTCTGTTCAGATGCATGAGTTTTTAACCGCCACCCCACCCCCACGTTCCCTGATCAGATAGCCGTGTTGGCTGGAGGATAGTTGAAGTCCATCTGGAAAGTATCAGCTTGTGGGAAGCCTGACTTAAGAAAAGCTGTCCATCAGTCTTGTCTAATGTCTCCTTGATCCACCTCTTTCTCAAGTGAACCAAACCTATTTTGCTTACAGAGCTGCATGCAGTTATTGGTTTATTTAGAAATCAATCCAACCAAACATCCTGCTTAAAGCTTATTTTTTTTATCTTTTCTTCCTTGCAGTAATAAATGCACCCACTCACAGAAAGATGATATTTTTCATTGGCAGGCTACATCTAGTGTTGAAGTAGTAACTTGAGAATATGAATGTATGAATCAATATGCATCCATGCTAAAACCAGCCTAGTGGGATGTTAGGTAGAAAATTATTGGTCTACAGTATTCACTTAAATATAGTATAATGATTTCCCCCCCCTCCCTCTGAGCCTCCTTCTCAGAAGTAAATTTATTTTGGCCATAGGCATTCATGCACAATATGGTCCTATGGCAAATGTGAGATTACATCTTCAAAATATAAGTATGTGAAGAGAAGGGAAAGCTACTGTACTGATAAAGTAAATCCTATTATAAGAGCTGCCTAAGTAGATGTTGATATTTTGCAAGATAATAATACGATGCATCTCACGTGTACACATACTGCATTTGGGTATGGAACTTTCCAGTCTTGCAGTGGGTCAAAGACACTTTAAAGAAAGGAAGCTTGAACAGGAAGAGGATAGATGTTTGGGTAAGGCTTTCATTTTGGGCAGGGATTGAGTAGAATACCTCTCCTTAGGGCCAGCCTACTGTTAGGTAGAATGAGACAGGTGCGTCAAGCAACAGATGCTGGAAGACAGTAGAAAAGTGTTGGGATTGAGAGCTGTGTATCACACAGTCTTGTGTTCCTGAGCCAGCCCATGGTCTTCAGATGCAAGAAGAGATGTTCTCCTATCTCTGGGTTGAAGGAGAATTCTTCCTGCAGTCCACTTGACTTGTACACATGGAATGGGAGGGATGCTCCTTATTCTTGTTTTAAACAGTAAAGTATCTTTGACAGGACAGCTGTGCAGTTTCATTTCCACTTGCTTGTCTTTTCTGGCCACCTACCCCCCAACCCTGCAGGTGTTCAGAACCAATCATCTTCCAAGAAACCCAGGAATCGCAGCATCTTCCAATCCCTTTTTTGCTGCCTTTGCCATGACAACTCAGAGCCTATCCCTGTCAACAACAATGCCCCGCTGCTGGTGGAAGAAAACGGTTCAGTGACCAAGGTATGTTTAACTGTCTCTTTGGTTCCTGGTTTTTTGGCCATCAAGGATCTTGCCTTACAGGATGTAACCAATCTCTTTGATGCTTCTGAGTACAACAAATCCATTTGTTAAAAGGAACTCTTGAACAGTCTACCCCAACCTATGATTTTCCAGATATGGGGAATTCTCCCAGCGAGCAAAAGAAATGATTGTGCATCATTGGGACTGATGGTATTGTAGTCCAAACCATCCAATAAATGCTATACTGGGAAAGGATACATTAGTTTTAAGAAAAGGGCTGTTGCCCACTCCCTTACTTCAGTCCATGATATTTCTACCCATTGAGAATGTTCAGGCCACATTTAGCTTCAGGTAAAATTCCTGAGCTCCTTCATCAAGTGATAACACCGTAAACTCCAAAATAGTAAAACCCTAGGCCAGGGGTCTTCAGACTTGGCCCTTTTATGTCTTTTAGACTTCAGCTTCCAGAATTTCTCAGCCAGTGTGCCTGGCTGAGGAATTCTGGAAGTTGAAGTCCATAAGTCATAAAAGGGCCAAGTTTGAAGACCCCTGCTCTAGCCTCTAGGTTAGAGAAGAGGTACAAACTTTAATGGGTGTTGTCATTAAGCCCTGAGAACCAGAAAACAGCTTGAGAAATTAGAAGGCCCATTGTAGACCATTCACTATGCATGAGTCATCCTCTGCAATGCTTGAATTGCTTTCTTGTACTTGGATAAAGAGAGTTAGTTACATTCCACATACCGGTAGATGGCATGTCTGCCATGCAACCCAGAGGTTGGAAAGAGATCTTTAAAATGCATTTGGCTGCAGGTCTTGACATATGATCCCTTGTTGCTTAACTGCCAATAGATAATGACAGGTGACAAGCTTGAAGGGATGGGCAGGAAGAGTCATGGCTGTCTTGCCCAACATTTCTCTCATGTCGAAGGTGCAAGATGGCAACCTAGAGAGAGATTGGGTTTCGTCTATATTTGAAACAGCAGTCCGTAGTAGACCAAGTACCCAATTGGTGCTTGCACTGGACTATACAAAAATCAGACATTAGCAACTTAAGCTGCCCATCCACTAATTTCAAGAAAAAGGTTAGGGCCTTATTAAGAGCCTTCTATATTTCTGGCATTCCCTCAAGATTTATAGCTTGTTGCTCATGGGGACTGGGCTGGCAGAACATTAACATGCCCTCCAACTGATAGAGATTTTTAAAAAATGACTAAGTGTGGTACTAATATATGAATATCCTAGTTGATTTTGAGAGATCTGGAGAGCCTTTAATTATTCAAAGCTGCTGAACTACCAACTCCTTTTAAATTGCTATCCCAAGTTGATTCACTTTTAGAATAGATCACCTGAGCCTTAATATATTAGCGCCCTCTATTGCCCAATTGTATAAATGCTTAGGCTTGGCTTCAGGATTTCTCCCTCCTGCAAGTATAAATCACCCCACTGCACCTATTTCATCTTCCTAGCCTATATTGTATAGCTATGGAATCATGGAATAGGGAGTAGGTTTATATTGAATGGATGGATAGATAGATAGATAGATAGATAGATAGATAGATAGATAGATAGATAGATAGATAGATAGACAGACAGACAGACAGACAGACAGACAGACAGACAGACAGACAGACAGACAGACAGACATTCTTGTTCTATAGAGGACTGAGATAGAGATCTTGATACGTGCCAAATATTCCTTGATGATAATATGGGGAAGCAAACTAAAAGGAGACAGCATCCACTCTTCACAAAACATAGGAAGGAGAATCTCTGATTTTAGCGCATTCATGCTGTTTACGGGTTAATTCCCATTGCCCCTTACACTAGTTGTCAGAGATTGAAGTTCCTTGCTTCTATATCTCTTTTAATCCAAATGCATATGTCTCTCTATATCTTTCTCACTCTACAGACCACAGTCAAATACCTGTTGCCGGAAATCAAACTGCAAGATGCCAGTAAAATCTGTGTGGTGATTGACTTGGATGAGACCTTAGTACATAGTTCTTTTAAGGTCAGTTCTTACATATCTTCTTCTTCTTCTTCTTCTTCTTCTTCTTCTTCTTCTTCTTCTTCTTCTTCTTCTTCTTCTTCTTCTTCTTCTTCTTCTTCTTCTTCTTCTTCTTCCTTCTTCTTCTCTTCTTCTTCTCTTCCTCTTCTTCTTCCTCTTCCTCCTCTCTCCTTTTTGATGAGTAGTGAGGCTATTTGCTGATTTTCATTCCAGGCAGTTCTATTAAGTGAGATTTTTAACAGCTATATTTTTTAAACTTTCTTCATTAGAGCAGCCTTCCCCAAACTTAGTCCCTCCAAACTACTGAAGCGAATGAAGGAAGGAGATATATGACTTATTTGTTGGCAGAGCAAAATGTGAAGCCGATCTTGTTTCAGAAACCCAGGAAGTGTTTCCAACATAACTTTTTCAAAACCAGGGAGATGGGTAGCGAAAAAAAGTCTTGTAGAAGTTGTGGTTCACCCTGTGCTTCCTTCCTCCTCTCTAGCCAGTGAACAATGCAGATTTCATCATCCCAGTGGAGATTGACGGGGTCATGCACCAGGTATGGAATCTATGCTGGAAAATGGAACAAGAGAGATTGCGGACAATCTGGATGCACCTCATGTGACAGAGAAATTTCACATTAAATCTGATTTGGTAATGGTTGCTATGGGATACCCCTTAACAGTAGCATGAGGGGAAAGGTCCATCTGGTAGTACAGCATCTATTTCCATGAGAAGATCTTCCATTCAATCCCAGCATGTCCAGATAGATTAAGAAAATGCATTTGATCATTAGACCATGTGAACCCAATGGTGTGATTCAACATAAGGAAATCTCCTCTATACTCCTAAAGCTGTGATGGAGCTGAGATTGAAATCCAATAGCCCTATATATATATATATCGTGATTGCTATTCCCATTTACAAAGGCTGTGGCTAGGTTCAAGTAATCCAGGATAGGCTGTAGGTACTGCAATCAGCCTGTTCTCGATTACTTGGCCTTGGAGGCAGCCAGAAGCATCAATCACAGTGGACTTGACAGTTATACGTGCTCACATTCAAAGAGGAATCAACAGCTCAGCATGCTTTGAATAGTTCTCAGATGAGATTGCCCAGTTACATCATTCCATACTTTGGAGTTTGAACCATTTCAGATGACTGTTGTGCACTGCATGTTGAAATGTGGGGATCTTCTTGCTTTGGTTCTTTGTGTAAAGGGTGCAAGCTGTCTTTTCCCAGCCTTTCTTGAATTGTGGAGGATCTTCAGTGAGGAGGACACCTTGATCTCTATCTCTGTGCTTGGTAAAATTCAATAAGTAAAGCAGAGCAAGTGCCAGAGAAGAACCATATGTAGAAGTAACTTGGCTTCATAGGTCAGTTAGGGGCTTTGAGGTTAGGACTATCTGTCTTCAGTGTTCTGCAGGGTACCAGCCTTTTGAGGTAGACCAGGCCTGAACGCCAGAGTCATGAATGATAAAATGAACTTTTATTATAGGGTCACAGTAGCAGAATCTTGCAACTCTGAATGTGCCTCTTTCCCCCCCCCCCCTTTATCCTAAAGAGAATTAGGGAGGGTCCAGTCTGAGATGCTTTCTCAAATTCCATGCTACAGTCTAAGATTTCTCTTATTCGACCACTGCCTTGGCTGCAGCTCTTCCTTCTCTTTCTCAAGGTTATTCTTACAGCCAACTACACATATCCCCTCCACATGCCCACTGGTGCCTTTCTCACACTGTTTAACTTCTCTATGAAACTTTGGAGAGAGATCGTCTGTCAGTTTGCAGTGAGGTGTCACCAGCATCCTAACGATGCTCAACAGCACGCTGTCCTCTCTGCTGTGACAGAACTGCTGTGAAGCCCTAACTCAGTCTCTGGGGGTTGAGGATCTGGATGGTAGGAACAAGCTGAAACTAAATCCCAGCAAGCTGGAGGTTCTAAAGCAGTTTTGTGATTAGCTTTGGTTAGGATTGCTCTCCTCAACTTGAATAGGCCTGGAACTTGGCAGTCTTGCTAGATGCATGGCTTCTGCCGGATTGAGTATCAGCCCTTCAAAGAACGCCAGATCAGGAAACAAGACCCAGCACGATTCCTGGAACTCTATTTTATCGTTATGCTGCATAAGAACTGAATCTTCAAACCCTTCCCCCTCTGCTCTCTCTTATATCAAATCAAGGTGAGTTTACTATGGGCCTCTTTCTCTGACTTTTCTCAAGTTGAGTGTCATTTACTGTCTTTTTAATCTGCTAAGGAATCTTGCATTCTTTCGCCTTTGTTATCTCTGCCTTTCTCTACCCAGAGATACTGCTTATCCAGGAGAAATCAGTTCCACTGATAATTCTGAATATGATCCTGTAGAGCCCTATAGAAAATGTCTGTGACTTTGGTTCCTCCAGGACTCATGGCTCCTGCTGGAGCAGTGGGTAGAGGTCATGGCCAGGGGACTTGGATCTTGAAATATTTACCTGGCAGTCATGACTCATGCTCTTCGCAAGATACTTTCAGAGTACGGCAACAGGTTTTACATAGGACTGCTTTTGAAGACGGCTTGCAAAGTAGAGTTGGTACTGATTCTCATGGCCAGCCTGCTAACAGGGAGACATGCTACTGCAGTGTGCCACCAATCCTTTGATAGGTTTTGAGCCTAATTCAAAGATCTGCTTATAACTTACAAAGTCCTGTAAGGAGCAGCTCCAGTTTGCTGCCTCCTCCAATTGGCTTCCGGCCATTCTGTATGGACTTTTAGGGAAGGAGATGCTTAGGATCCCCACCCATTGTGAGATAAGTGGGACATGAACTGAACTGAACTGAAACCATCTTCAGGGTGATCCCAATTCCCAGGAACAGGTGGTTGCCGGACACGCACCAATCTCTTGGTTGTTGCTTTTCCATAAGCTGTGGTGGCGCAATGGTTAGAATGAAGTACTGCAGGCTAATTCTGCTGCCTGCCGGCTGCTTGCAGTTCAGCAGTTTGATTCTCAACGGCTCAAGGTTGACTCAGCCTTCCATCCTTCAGAAGTTGGTAAACAGGACCCAGATTATTGGGGGCAATGTGCTGACTCGGTAAACTACTTAGATAAGCACTGTGAAGGGGTATATATAAGTCTAAATGGTATTGCTAAATGCTATTAGGCAGGGAAAGCTATTTTGTTTGGGGGGAGATACTTGAATTTTAGTGATTCAACCATCTTGTGTAGTTGATGTTTTATTCTGATCAAGTTTTATTGCTTGGGCCAGTTTTGTGGCTGTTTTTGTATGCAGTGCTTTATTGAATTGTAGGGTATTCTATTCTATTGATGTTGTCATGGAAGAGGGGCAGTATATAAATATATATAATACATAAATAAATAAATATCAGCATATTTTCTGGGCAACCAGTTTTGCTACCTAGTCTTCCGGTGCTTATTCTGATGCTCAGCATTGCCTTCTTTTAGACAGAAACTGGATCCATCGGTTTGTTGGGCAAGTAGATAGGACATGGAGCCTGCATCTTTTTCTTGTTCCATGATCCCCTTCCATGATTTCTCTTACCAGGTGTATGTACTGAAGCGACCCCATGTGGATGAGTTTCTGAGGCGGATGGGTGAGCTCTTTGAGTGTGTACTCTTCACTGCTAGCCTGGCAAAGGTACAATTCTCCTCCTTCTCCTATCATCCTGCTTTCTCATGAAGTAGTCAGAGTAATGGGCTCCAATTTGGGGAAACTTAGCCAACCGAAAGAGAGAAATTAAGAAGATGCTCATAGCAGCCTTTCTGTCCAATTAACCTCCTGACCCATTCTAAACTCAAAATTAATCCAGAAATCCTGACTCCCAGATCCCTCTTACCTCTTGCAAGTTGTGGGAGAAAGCTGTTCCCACTCATCTGAAGCAAGAGTCTGTGCTTTGGATTTCCTTTTCATCCCAGGATTTCTGTAACATTTTGCTTGATGAAGAATTCTGAAAAATTCCAAAGCTGAGACATTCTTTTGTACCATTTTCCTTGAACCTAAAAAAAAAAAAAAAAAAAAAAAGCCAATGCTCTACAAGTAGACCTTGACTTACAATCACAATTGTGGCCCGAATTGCTGTTGCTAAGCAAGGTATTTGTTAAGGGAATTGTATCTGATTTTATGAACTCTTTGCCGCAGTTGTTAAGTGAATCACGGCAGTTGTTAAGTGAAATGTGGTCCTTGAGTGAATCTGGATTTCCCCCCCCCCTTGACTTTGCTTGCCAGAAATCAGTTGAGAAGGTTGCAGATGATGATCACATGACCCTGGGATGCCACAACAGTTGTAATTACATGATGGTTGCGAAACATCCAACATTTGATCACATAATAGTGGGGATGCTGCAAAGGTCACAAATGCAAAGACCCATTTTTTTTCCAGTGCCATTGTAATTTTGAAAGGTCACTAAATGGATGGTTATAAATCGAGGACTGCCTGTCCTGTAGATGTTGGATTTTTCTTGATCTTTTGCATTGAAAAGGCAATCTGGATGACGTCATCAGCAGAAGTCTGCTTTAATTAACAATTAGTAGGAAAAGCCTCTGCTGGAGAAAAGAGTTTGCTAATCTTTATTTCCAATCTAGCCTTGTGGAATACAAAAGTTTCAGGATTTTGACAGGAAATAAATAAATAAACAGGAATAAATTGTGTACCCTAATACTACACCCTCCCTTCCTATATAGAGCACCTGGAGAATCTAGTTCAGGGGTAGGCAACCTTGGCTCTTTTATGACTCGTGGACTTCAACTCCCAGAATTCCTGAGCCAGCATGGCTAGCTCAGGAATTCTGGGAGTTGAAGTCCACGAGTCATACAAGAGCCAAGGTTGCCTACCCCTGATCTAGTCAAACCAATTTCCTTTATCCCCTGTTGGTCCTCCAATTTTAGTATGCTGATCCTGTGGCTGATCTGCTGGACAAGTGGGGGGCCTTTCGCGCTCGCCTTTTTCGCGAGTCATGTGTCTTCCATCGGGGTAATTACGTCAAGGACCTCAGCCGCCTGGGACGCGATCTGACACGGATCATCATTGTAGACAATTCACCAGCTTCCTATGTCTTCCACCCTGACAATGCTGTAAGTAGAGGGAGAGCTAGCAGCGTTCTAAATTGAGGGGTGGGCAACCATAACAATTTGGAAGCCCGTCTCTTGAACAGACCTGAAAATATATGCCTGAAGAAGAGGGCAAGGGGGGGGGGATAGTTTTCTACTTGGTTCTTGGGCCCAAGAAGATTTTTTCCTTAATACCATGCATCGTGCAGATTTTTATTTTTTTTTTTTTGCAATTGGCAACTGAAAGCTAAATAGTAGAGCAATATCATATGCAATCCATAGCACGGTATAAAATAGCTGCTCCCGGTAGCCTTATTTTGATTACCGATAGCCACCGATGCAGTAACCCTTTCCCTTTTTTCACCCCTGGCAGGTGCCTGTGGCTTCGTGGTTTGACAACATGGCTGACACGGAGCTCCTTGACCTGCTGCCTTTCTTTGAGAGACTCAGCAAAGTGGATGATGTATATACCGTGCTAAAGCAGCATCGGACTACTAGCTAGTGACCAATGGAGGGGGCAGGGCTTTGGGCAGGGGAAGTAGGAGGGGTAGGTATGCCCATTTTGGCTACTTCCTTCTGCTGAGCAGGATGACCTCTTCCCTCAGCCTCAACAAGCAACGCAGTGCCCAGGAAACCCTGCAGGAGGCAGCAGAGCGCAATTATTCCCATGAGGCACCAGAAGAAACTTCAGCATCTGAATGTGATCTTGAAACCCCGCCCCCCCCCAGAAAGGAAACCTCCTTGCTGATATGGTTAACAGTTTCTCCCCTTGAATGATGGGTTGCAGAAACCAGAACCTCAGCCCTTTCTCTCCACACACAAACATCTAATGTGACCAAAGCTATGATCCAGCTATGGTCCTTTCCCTTCTAATCAGAACAGTTCTCCGCTCATTTGCCGCCATCTTGGGGGAAGATACACAAGTCTCTTTCCCGGGTATTCACTGCACTTCATTGTTGTATCAGTTCAAAGATCTCCATTGTCCCAATTTCAGAAAAAGTTATTTCTAAAATTGCTGATTGGCTAGGACAGTGTTTCTCAACCTTGACAATTTTAAAGCATGTGGACTTCAACTCCCAGAATTCCACAGCCAGCATTGCTGGCTGTGGAATTCTGGGAGTTGAAGTCCACATGCCTTAAAATTGTCAAGGTTGAGAAACACTGGGCTAGGAGGAGCCGAGATTGAAATTATTCAAGAAAATTGGAGAAGAAAAGCTAAAAAAAACCTAGCAGAACTAAAGTGGTGTGGATGGGGCAGGGATACAGAAAAGTGATATATGTGAGCAGAGGACTGCATTTTTTTTAGGGGACTCAGGTTCATCCCTAAATAAGATGTTTCTGCCTCCTCCAAAGGCTTAGTTTTTTGGCTTGAAATTTAAGCTGGATCTTTCGCAAAGGGGCTGTGGACTGTGTATAACTGTTACACATAAGTCAACTCTTGGGACTAATAGTGAGGTCAGTTTTGTGTTTTGCTCCTCTTGGAAATATCTCCCCCTCCCCCTTGTGGGAAAATTCCTAAATTTCCAAACACAGTGAGGGGAGAAGAAAGAGACTGGAAGAATTCCCAGTTTTATTCATTCTCTCCCCCCCCCCCCTAAATTAAGGAAGGACTGGAGATTTTTCGTAAGGAGGAGGAAAAAAAATCAGGTTTGCTTCTTCCTGCTGAGACATAGGGTGAACCAGCTTTACTAGCAAGGGGATAAGAGGAGTTGAAGCCTCCAGCCTACAAGTCCCTCTTTTTTTTTTAATCTCTGGAAATAGATCTCTCGGGCCACTTCTATGACTGGTCGTGATGGGGTAAGGTGGTTCATGATACAAACATTTGCTTAGGAGGAAAGACTGAGGTAGCATTGGAATGCAGAGAAGGGACTCCTTGAGAGGTGAAATATGGCTGACAAGAAAGAATTCGATGGGAAGGGCAGAATGATGGAAGGGATAGATAGTTCTGTAATTAAGAGAGTCCAATATTAAAGAACAGAAGCTAGGAAACCATGGTTCCATATGTTGCTGAAGAACATTCCTGGTTTCCTGTTATGATCATGATGAGGGAGGCACAAAGGGTCCTAAAGCAATAGCTGGAGAGCCACAGGTCCCTCCCACAGCTTAGAGAAGTGATAAGTGATACTGTCCTGCAGTATTTATGTTGAATGCTTTGGAATCGTCCTCTGCACCTTTTCTGTATTTTGTGTCAGCCCTGACTTCTTCCTTTGAGCCCCTCTTTGACACTATCCTCTCAGTGACAGGATACAACATCAGGCAGAATTAGACTAAACAGAGAGACAAGATGTGGGAGGTGTATTCCTTGACCGCTGTGTTTTTTGTCTTGCGCTACAGTTGGTGCCTTCAAATCCCACTGTCTTCCTAGAAATCTGTAACCTTTCTGGATTTGTGGAGTATGTGGGGGAAATTGTGCCTTTTAGAATCAATAGACTTGCTGATATAGCATGAGGAGGAGAAAGCAGAGTTAGTGTGCCAAAAGGAGGTGTCTCCATTTCTGCTGCTTTGTCCACAGCGCTGGGGGTTCCCTCAGGGGATGCTTTAGCAAAGCTGACCCATCCCTGTGGTTCAGTATGTTTCTTCCTATTTTTTTTTCCAGCATCTTTGAAACCTGTTTAATAGGAGAGAATTTTGATACCAAACAAGAATTGTCTTGGTAATCTGCCTAGTTACTATTTCTACTTACGGATTTGCCTCGGTTTCTCTCCAGTGCCATCTTAAATTTGCCTTACAATATTTTCGAGATGTAAGAATTCCTTGTGCCTTTTGCCTATTGCTATTTTTTTAAAGATACCATAAACCCCATGAATCTAACTCAGGCATAGGGTACTGCAGTTCTTGGTAGCTCATTGGTAGCTCATTTTGAACTTCACTTTCAAGGAGCTCCTGAGCTGTCTTCTTCAACATGAAACAATAATTAAATTTACTGTTACAATGGACCAGAAATGGTTGATGTATCTGGATCACTGCTGGCCTACACCTGACCAGACAGTTCTGATTAACATGCTGCTCCCTCTTACTAAGAGTGACAGGATGTTCAGAAATCTTTTGAATTGGGCATTGCAAACATGGCTGTCAGATCAGGCGTCTTTGAAGTTGAATATTACAGTCAGCAGGTCGTCTTTCAACAATGCAAACTGCAGATTCCTTGAACAGTAGACAAATATGTTCCTTCTTATTTTCTGTTTATTTTCCCCCCAAAAGAACCATTTAAAAAAAGCAGCATTGTTCTAACAACCTGAAGGGAGTGGAAGGGAGAAAAAATTATTGAGAGTAAAAGAAGAGAAGCTTTGTTTTTCCTTAAGTCTACTGTCATCTTCTTCCCCCCCCCCTTCTGCTTCTTCAGGTGTGGCACCTGTTGCTAGTACTGTATGGAAAGACCGAAGGTCAAGTCTCTCCTTAGCAGTCCTTGAGAAATTGAACCTGGCAATTTTCTCAGTGACTTGCCAGATTTGCACTTCCTGGATAAACATGCATCAAAACACTGAAAATATGCATTGAATAACTTTCTCCAGATTTTATAGTTCTTCAAATGTTGTATCACGGTTTTTAGCAGTGAAACTGTATCAAAACTCATTTTAAAATGTACAGTATTTCTAAAAGATTTTTTTGAAATTGATGTGAGGCAAAAGTAAAATGTAGTCAAAATGATCTCTAATCATTCCATATTATCTTATCAGCCAATCTATATTAATGTCAGGTTGAATTAACAAGGAACTTTCTTGTGGCGTTCTAAGGCTGTTTTTTGTTCTTTCTCCAGCCACAGAAACTCCTGGGGGGGGGGAAATAAGGTTACAATTTATGCACACATTTTGGACAGAAAACTGTTAAGAAAGAGTTAATTTACTTTTGTGTAAACTTAGACTGCATATTTCTTTGCTGCTTCAATGGATCATCTTGATTTAAGGATGGCGTCAACCTCCTTTGGCATGTACATAGTTTTTCCCATTGGAGTAGCTAAATTTGGCCTGATCTGAACTGTATCTTTGTTCCTTTTCTCACCCTACCTCAATTGCCTCCTTAATGCTGTGTTTGATGGTATAAGTTGAGAAATTGAGAAATTGCTTCATTCTGGCAGGACCAAGAAATCTTTTTCTCCCCCCCTCTCCCCTCCAAAAGAGGCCAAAGGCCAATTTGGACCCACTAGCTCCCACAAACCAAAAGATCCCTTTTTAAGATTAATCCAAATTCTGTGTAAAGAGTTGCCCAGCACACCCTATTGTGGGGGGAATGACTTTTTTTTTTACAGAATGTGGAAATAATTTGAACTGGGCATGTTTTTAGATTATATAAATATGTATACCATGTATATATGTGTGTATATATATATTAGAAAAAAATAGGAAAATATGGAATGAGAAAAAGTATGATGATTTTTATAGCTGTATTTTAATGCTGTTCACGGGAGATGGTGATTATTTTTGTGTGCTTTGTTGTCATTTCTGATATAAAAGGAAATGCATTGGGAATCTTTTTTGCCCATGAGTTGACACTTCTATTGAGAGAGCCTCTGTCATGTCTCCAAGTGCCTGCAACCTCCCCTGTCATTCTTGGAGGCAAAGGAATGAAATAATCCACACAATATTGGTCAGGGCCAGTTTTACTAGCCACATTGGCTAAGAGTTAATATGAGACCCAGTCAATGGTCTCATTCCACAAAAAACTCATTTTTTCATCAAATATACAGAACCCAAAATTGTTCCCTGGAAGAGAAATGACTTTTTTCTCTTCTTTCTACTTTCCCTTTCACATAATTGTCCTGTCCACTTTTCCCTTCTCCACTGCTTTCTGTTCCCACCTGAGACTGGTTCTTACATCAACCAACCCCATCCTAATCCTTCAGGGTAGCAGCAAACAAGCCCCTCCTTTAAACAGTTGCTTGAGTGATGCCTCTCTCACTTTCTCCATAGAATTGCCTTCCCACTGAAGCCACATCCTGCTTTATTTCTTCTTTCAGGAAGGCTAAAGGTTCAGGGCCAGCAAGCCAGTTTCAACTCTAACAAAGTATTGGAAAACTCAGCACTTCCTCGAGATTGTGCTTCTCAGTGCCAGCTTGAGAGCTCCAAGGAGCCACACAAATCTCCATCTAGACATGCCAAGGAACTAGATAGGTTGGCTATGCCATGCTCCTGGAGTTTTGGAAGTGGCTGAATAAAATGCCACATCCATGTCTCACATTATTGTCAGTAGTTCTCCCTGTGAAGAAGAAGAAGTTATTCCCCATTCGTTTTTTTAAAGCTGTCTGTATCCGATGACCATCAGCTGAATTTTTAACCATGAATGAGAGTGTGATAAAATTTGCCAATCAAAAGTGCCTTCTCGTGGGATTCAAACTGTAAAATAATCTTTGAAGAAAAAAAAATATATAAAACTAAAAACAGTCTCTGTCATTTTGTGCAACAGAAAGTGAAAGTGGTGTGGATAGTGGGATTTAAAAAGAAGGAAAGGAATTGCTCTTATTTACCCAGCCTTGTTTTTGCTAAGGAGTGTCTCAGGTTTACATAACCTTATTCACTCAAAGGTCAGTAGTTTTCCTGGTCAGATAGAATCTCTGAAAAAAGACTTATAATGGCATGATATGCAGCTTTTTTTAAAATCAGCCTTAAAACAGACATATTAAATTTTAAAAGGCTTAACTATTTTATTTTATTAAATCTTTCCAGGGTTTTAGAAGAGAATTTTCTATGGGAGAACTCCAGCCCTGTTTCCTTTAGTCGTATAAAATACATCATTGACATGTCTCCTGCTACCCATGGGCATTGAAAAAAATAAGCTTTTAACATAGCTCATGGTAAAAAATATCCTGCCTGGCAGAAAGTTTTTTTAAAAGCTTCTGAATATTTGTCTTCATAGGACCGTTGGTCTGTTTTGAAACAAATTAGAGAGTATGATAGTCATATATGATAATTTTAGGACTTATAAAGAGATTCTTTTTCTAATATAGCAGGAAAGCAAAGCCAGTAGACGTTTTTTCACCATTTTATTCATGCATTCTTTATTCAGAGCCCATTGAGGAAGATTATTTGCACTGCTTATGGTTTGTTTGTTTTTTAAAAAATAAATAACTTAGATTGCTTGTCCTAATTAGAGAGCTGGAAATATTACAGAGAAGAGCAGTCGTCGCCACCACTATGAGCAAAAAGTCAAAATAAGGGTGAGGAATGGGTGTGTAATCTTCTACATGTTGGAATACAAGTTCCATTATTTGAAGGGTCACAGATGTCCACATCTAAGGATTTAAGGAATAAGACAAATTTATGGGGAGAGGTCAGTGGTTTTGGCCATGAAGAATGTATTCCATATTAAGAGGCAGTATAATCGTTGAGAAGAAATGTGAAGCTAAATTAGAATGTCCTTCCAGGTGCCTGTGTTTGTGAGTTTCTTAAACTGGTTGGGCGTTCACTGTTGGAAACAAAAGAGTTTATTAGAACTGCAGTAAGCAATCTACTACTGTTTATGTGCTTGGGACACCACAGTTCCATTAAGTTCTGGCCAATATTGTCAGTGATAGAGAGTGATGTTAATAGCAGTCCTACATCTGGAGAGCATCAGAATGGAAAAGCGTATAGTAAAAACTCAGGTTCCCCTAGTTCCAGTCTATTAATTTTATTAAAAATGAGGAATGAAGAACCAATCTAAAGGTCTTGTGTATCTTGGACCTCTTAATAAGCTCAAAGGAGACTTCACTATTGTAATTTTATAAAGGAAAGCAAGACTTGTGAACAGATTTATTTATTTATTTATTTGACTTATATACTGCTTTAAGTGCAAGCACTCTCTAAGCGGTGTACACCAGTAAGCAATGTATACATATATTTACATTGCCCCCAACAATCTGGGTCCTCATTTTACCTACCCCGGAAGGATGGAAGGCTGAGTCAACCTTGAGCTGGTGAGATTTGAACTGCTGACCTGCTGAACACAGTCAGCTAAAGTGGCCTGCAGTACTGCACTCTAACTGCTGCGCCACCTCGGCTCATAAACTCATGAACTGCATAAGAATCCAATAGATAATACCGTAGTAAATAGTTTTGCTATTAATTGGAATGATGTTCGGGAAAGGGGCATCAGGCTGTTTTGCACATAATAGATCCCCCCCCCAGTCTCAACTACATAGTTTCATACCACTCTTTTATCACATATGGGGCTCCTCCTTTAGATACCTGTGTCCTTTTTGGCTCTGTTGCCATCCCACAACCATGTGGTCAATAAATATCTCACTTATCTGGCCTGTAATTTTCCTTTTATAAGCCTGAAAAGCAAACAAAGAAAGCTAGAGGTTTATTGCTCACTCTCACAATCTAGGCCTCTTTCCAAACCTTTGCAAGATAAATTTTAAATGATCAGAACTACAGAAGATGGCGCAACCTCAATTTTACAATGTCAGTGTGGTTCAATGGTTGGGAAAATCATATCACTTTCTGGAGAGAAATTCGGCTGCTCCAGTTCAATAATCTATGATTGTATCTGTTGCTATGAGAACTGGCATGGTGTAATGATTAAAGCACTAGGCTAGAAACCAGGAGACTGTGAATTCTAGTCCTGCCTTGGGCACAAAGCCAGCTGGGTGACCTCGGATCAGTCACTCTCTGTCAGTCCTAGGAAGAAGGCAATGGCAAGTCGCTTCTGAAACCTTACCAAGAAAATTGCAGGGACTTGTCCAAGAGCCAAAAGTCACTCAAAGACATTAAAAAACCCCACACACCCTGTTGCTGCTTTCAGATATGCATGCATGGCTGCTACTTGAATTAAACTGAGTAATTTGTCACCGGATTCTGGATCATTCCTGAACATGTGCACTATAGAGTTCTAAAGGTTTTATCCATCCCCCTTTTTTTCTTATAACACACTGTTGGTGGTGGGGGTGGGGAATTGGTTTCCCTTTAAAGTACAACTACAGTTCTCCAAATTAAATCACCACCCTTAAAATGGGGATCTGCGTCTGTCCCCACCCCCAGCTGCATTTCTCAATGTATTCTGAAGCCTCAACTATTGTTTACTCATCCATTGAGTTAGATCTGCAGAGATCTAACCAGGCACCAGTGGTGTAGTAACATGATTTTAGATCTAAATGATTTCTAAGCAGCTGCAGTTTGACCACTGTGGTTAACAGTGGAACCAAGCATCATTTCATTACAGAGAGTAACAATATAATTTAAAAATAATTAAATGAACATTTATAAATCTGTCTGTGTCCAGCTGCTTACTTTCTGATTGTAACCATTTTTTTTAAGAAATAGGGAAAGGATATTGTGAGGAACAGCAGTAGTGCATATGTCAGCTCAAGAATTGATGCAGATTTGTTTGCTGTTCCTGCTGGGGTGGAAAATTGCCCCTGGCTCCAAGCAGACATTTTGGAGAGGGAGATCTTAACTGTAGGGATCCTGTGCTGTGATCCAAAATCCAGCCACAGCGTGGAACCCATTTGAATCTAGTACTGAAGCCGAATGCATCTCTGTGTCTTCTATTGTGCTTTTGACCTCAGCCATTCATTCAACTCAGAGGCAGCCCCAAACTCTGTATTCTTTGCCTTGTTTGTTTCTCAGCCTCTGATCTGTCTCTGTCCCTCTTTTTATCTATTATTATCTCGCAAACACACACACCACACACACAATCCATTAATGGGCTACTGTCTTCTCTAGCCGTGGTTTCACCATCTTTCAGTAAGTACTTGCTGAAATTCAGCTCATTAGAGACCAAAGTGAGAGATTTGGGGGGGGGAGGTTGAGCAAAAGCTGGTTGTCTACTGGAGCAGCATAATCCAAGGCTTGGCCACTGGCTCTCCCCCTCCCTCTTTCAGGGTTGTGTTGCTCTCTCCCTCTCTCTCTCTCTCACTGAGAGGAGAACATAGCAACCAAAACCAGCAACAAACTCCAGAAAAGAATTAAAATTGGGGGGCAATTTAAAACAGACACCCACAGCACCAGGTAAGCTGCAAAGCTATTTTTGCCTTTACCTCATACAAATGGTGGGTTGGCTTTCCCGGGTTATGGACCTCCTCTGTACCCCAAACCACAGCTTGAGAGACAAGTATGGGATGTTTAACTCTGGGTCAGTTGTCAGCTTTAAGACACAAGAATAGGACAGACATTTTTCTTTCCACGTTTCAACCAGACTAGTTTCATTGTAAAACTAGATTCTCTGTAAATTGGAGAAAATTCGAGTAAGAGGCTTTGCAGAGATGGCTACGGGCAAGTGCTGAATATGTTTCAGAAACAGGATTATAGGAAAAAGAATCAAGAATTATTAGAAGAAAAAACTGCTAATTCAAGGGCTGAAGGACATTATAGAAGGGCCATGTTGGTGTAGGACAGTTCAAAATCAGTAGCTCTTTTTCAGATTAATAACTTTTACTAAAAGGCATGCTTTTTTGTGAGATATAGCTTACTTTCAACTCCTTCTGTTTAAGAGGAGGAATAACATTATTCACATTATTCACCAAAGCACTGGAGGGCAGGACAAGAAACAATGGTTGGAAATTGATCAAAGAGAAGCAATCTGGAATTAAGGAGAAACTTCCTGACAGTGAGGACAATTAACCAGTGGAATAGCTTGCCCCCAGAAATCGTGGGCACTCCATCACTGGAGATTTTTAAAAAGAGGCTAGTCACTCACTTGTCTGAGATGGTACTATAGGTTCTCCTGCTTGAGCAGGGGGCTGGACTAGAAGATCTCCAAGGTCCCTTTCCAGCTCTATTCTGTTCTATTCTATTCTAACCTCAACTTTAGCAACTCAATCTACAGTAAATATTTCTTTCACATTGCTCTCATGACTTCATGGAGAGATATATATTACTGTCTTTCCAACAGTGCAAAAGTTTTTTGTCACATCTTTCTTCCAAGATATTCATTTTCCAAGCTCAGTCTACAGCCCTATTTGTCTCTCTTCCAAGTTCTAATCTGTTCCAACTCTACTTAGCTCCCAGTCTAGACAACCTCAGTAAGGCGCTGGCAACAGTTGTGACTTTTCTTAATCTAGAAAAATCCATTAAAGTAATAATAATAAGCCACATAATACCACAGATTTGACATTGATAATAAGAAAGACAAAAAAGTCTGGATAGTGGGTGTTATTGTACACAGAGATAGAAGAAGAGAAGAGAAAAAAAACTTGAGAAAAATCACAAAATACAAAGACCTGCAAATAGAAGTAGAACAACTGGGGCAAGAAAGAAAGCAAAGATGGTACCAATAGTCATAGGTGCCTTGGGTAAAATTCCAAAATATCTGGAGCGCTTTGAATACCATGGGCATTGACAAAATCACCACCAGTCAATTACAAAAAGCAGCTTTACTTGGAGCAGCTTACATCCTGCAGCAATAACTTTAAGATTAAATAATAACATTTGGCTGACTATAGAATGGGCCATAATAATAA